AGGGTCCCTTCAGGAAAAAGATGGCACATTTAAATGGGGCGACTGAAGGAGCTTAATAAGGGGATGGTTTATACAGTTTTGGGTAAAGTGTAGGGAACAGTATCAAGGGATGAGAGCTAGTCATGTCAAGGAGCCTCAGGCCAGAAGGGTCAAAGGAAGGGAGGGGACTGGTTGTTAGAACAGAGAGAAGGCTGGGCCACGGTGGCTCACGCCTTGTAATCCTAGCCCTCTGGGAGGCCGAGGTGGGCGGATTGCTCGAAGTCAGGAGTTCAAAACCAGCCTGAGCAAGAGCGAGACCCCGTCTCTACTATAAATAGAAATTAATTGGCCAACTAATATATATAGAAAAAATTAGCCGGGCATGGTGGTGCATGCCTGTAGTCCCAGCTACTGGGGAGGCTGAGGCAGGAGGATCGCTTCAGCCCAGGAGTTTGAGGTTGCTGTGTGCTAGGCTGATGCCACGGCACTCACTCTAGCCTGGGCAACAAAGCAAGACTCTGTATCAAAAAAAAAAAGAACCCAGAGAGAAGAGCTGTGGGAGAAGGCCCCTCACTGGAGTGGTGGCCATCAATAGAGGGACACACCCAATCCAACATTCCCTTGACCTATTAATGCAGGACACACAGGCAGGTAGAGAAGGGTAGGAACTGGACCTGAAGGGCAGGTGGAAAATACCCTGTATAGTATCTACTGATTGGAGAACAGCTTAAACAACAAACCAACCAACCTTATGATGTAGCCACACAACAGAATACTAAGCCTTTTAGAATGAAGATCTAAATCCATATCTTTTATAGACATTGTCATGGTAAGATATCTATAACATAATTACATAAGAAAAGCAAATTACAAATCAATAAATATACTAAGACCCCAAATTTGTATATATATCAAGTGTTAACCAAGGTTAACTATGCATAGAGGGATCCAGGTGATTTTCCTACTTCTTACAATATATTTCTGAAGTTTTATTTATGTATAGCTTCTCAGTTTAACTCTTATTATGCCCTAGGCATCATTAAGACAACAAAGAGTGCTTTGACTTGCTTGGAAAACACAGAAAATATCTACTGAAGCTTGGATTCAGATCTCCTCTTAGGGTGAGCTCTTTTAAAGGCAACTCTATCACTTCTTTGTTACCAAAAATATAATAGAAAACAGGGAGAATGCTTGCGTCACTAATGGATAAAACCTTAACCAGGCCAACTTTCAGAAGTCATCTTGTTCAGGGTAATTCAACAGGGGCTGCATTAACCCACTGTAAGGAGCAGTCTGTATTTGCAGAAAAAGACTCCCAAATCGATTAGCAATGCACATTCCCCAACTAGAGAACATCACCCCAAACAGCCAAACAATCACTGCTGGTCATTATGTAGAATATATTTGAAAAATAAATTGAAGAGATGGCTGCGGATTTCTCTCTAACCTCTCTTCTCCTCTCAGAGAGGTAAGCAGAAAAATCATTAATTTCTCAAAGAAGAACAATGGGGGGGAGGAGGTACCTGCCCTGCTTTCCCAAGCTGGGTAGGTGCTTCTGTTTCTGTGCTGGGGCAGAGCCCTGCAGGAGGGGCGCCAGTGGAAGGCCTTAAATGCCACTGCTTCCCAGTCACTCTGCCACCACCAAACACCAAAGGACCACCTGCATAGAACTCTGCCTTTCTTAAGGTCTGAAGACACTCCAGACCTCAGCTCTCCCTCTTTCTCCAAGATCCAGGCACAGTAACACTAATATTTACCATTCAGTTAATACCTTATGCAAGTCAAGAACTGTGCTAGGCATGGGAACACATCTCTAATTGGTAAAACACTCTGAAACACAGATCTGACCACCTCTGTTTCACAAATAAGAATACCCGGGACTCTTCACAAGTTGTACAAAACAGAACTCCTGTAGGGTACTTGTTAGTTAGACAACTCATAGGATTGATCTTTAACCATTACAGGGGAAATTGTAGGATTAGGTATTTCCCTGTTATTTTTGCAAAGCCACCCCTTTCGTTATCCATGCACCAAAGTGGAATGGATGGTGCAGCTGGGGCTCAAAGCCAGATCTGCTCACTCCCAACCCAGAGCCATCTACTGCCCTGCACTGCCTTCTAGGAGCAGCCTGGTAGACTCATGAGAAACTCACAGCGACTTGGTCAGGCTGCCCAGTTCCCTGCCCCCCACCCCTCCCAGGCCTTACAGTGAGGAGCTACACTGGGCCCAGGCTCCTTTAGAGCAGTTTTTCCTACCTCCTGGGGGTCTAATGACAATCAAAAAAAAAAATCAGCAAGAACAGGATAGGGCAAAGCAGCCTTCAGGCACTGGTCAGGGGTAGGGTGGGGAGCAGTCATTAACTACCACCTCATTTGAGGAAATCTTGCCAAAGCCCTGGGTTTTGGGCCAATCACTGAGGAAACACTTCTGAAGTTTCTCTTTAGATAGAGATATCCACAAAACCCAAGTGTAACATGACTCAAAAACAATGTTGAAGAGTTACACATAAAGGGTGCTGTTAATGTTTACTATGTAAGCAAAGCTTGATATTCTCGATTCTTTCCAATGAGACCTCAATTGCCTTGAATTTTTTCAAATTTAAAATGTAGGAGTGCACCCAGCACGTCAGCCACACTACAGAACTGGCCCACGACAGCAATAACTCGAAACAGTCCCTGGGTTCATGGTATGCACTTGCAACCTCTACCTGCAAAGATAATACCAGCACATGTACCTTCTCTCATTAAGATGCAAAGAGACAACTGGCTTATGAGCCCACACAGCCAATGCCCATTAAGTGTGGCTTTGCCTGGGTGATTTCGGGTTTCTTCTCCAGGAGGAAATGGTGGAGCCCACAATGCTGCATGTTAACAGGACATAAATATCCTGTGAAGAATCACCCAGCACAACTGACCTCTCAGGGCGGGGCTATGCTCAGGAGAGGGAGCTATAAAGAGGTAATTCATTAGCACGGTAAAGCTGTCTTCCAGCCCATTTAAAGGATTCTGAGATACTGCCTTGATCCAATCAAGTAGACATCCCTCAGTATCTGTGGGGTGGCGGGTTCTAGGACCCCCGTGAATACCAAAATCTGTGGATGTTCAAGTCCCTGATATAAAATGGAATAGTATTAGCATATGACCTCTGCACATCCTCCATATATTTAAATCATCTCTAGTTACTTAAATACATAATACTATGTAAATGGTTGTTATATTGTATTTTTGCTTTTTTAAATTGCTGTATTGATATTTTTTATTATTTTTTGTTTCCAAATATTTTCGAACTGCAGTTGGTTAAATCCATGAATGCAGAAACCCATGGATAAGTAGGGCTGACTATACTCATTTCTTGGCCTCATGTTCAAGGCCCTCTCACTATCTGGTCCAAATCTCACTTTCTACTTTTATTTCTTACTCTACCCATGCACACTCAACACTCTATAGAAACCAAATGACCTAAGCTTTCCCAACTCCATGCCTTTGCTCATGCTGTTCTCTCCCCTACCTTTCTTTATCCTGCTAGTTTTAATCTGATTTTAACCACAAGACTTGATCCTTTAATTCCACGTCAAATTTCACTGCTCTGTGATCCTTCCTGAAGTCCTTTCCTGACTTCTCACATCTCCTGTCTCCACTCCCCATCACTGATGTTTTTCTCTCTTGACCTCTCCTGTTATTTCAGAGCATATTGTATTTATATTCATGCTAGGGCTTAAACTGCCTTATCCTATAGTTGACTGCAAATCAGTACAACTCTGTTTTGAAAAACAAAGGTAGAGCACACATTCCTACAAACACACATACCTTGTGTGTAATCTCCTAGGCATTCCCCTCCCCCATGGATATCTCAATCAGTGATTTTCTACTAGAGGCCGCATCTAGTACAGGCTCACCAAATCTTTATTTACCAAGCAATGAAAATTTTCTTTTGCACAGGATTCCTCTGGTTTTGACTAATCAGAGTTCTGAGCCTCATCTTATCTGGAGATAGTGCTGGAAGAACTGCCACGCCCTGTTCCCACACTGGAAATGGGACTGACTTTGGTTTACATAGCTTTGCAGCAGCAGCCCAAATAAAGCTGGGTAGGGCATTAAGTCTACAGATTGTTCAAATGGACATGTCAGCTGTACTGTTCCCCTCCTCTTGGAGGGCTAAATGCATCTCTTGAAATTGTTCTGGGAGAGAGAGCCATGCCACTTCAAAGGCAGCTTCCTCCCAGCAAGAAGCTCGCAAGGGTGGCACTTTAACATTCCTGGGATGTTTACCAATCTTTGACAGACACATTCTTCTGCCCAGTAGGACATGCCATAGGTCACTGAAAAATATCTGGGTACAAATATTTTATAACTATTGTAACTGTTCTGTAACGATGCTTATGAAAGGAACCTGGGCCTCTGACTCCAAATGTTTTCTACTCACTAATCTTTGTTCCTGAACCACCTAGCCCTTTGCCTGACCAACCAGGAAATGTGGGATGGGCAGGACACTTCTGCTGGAGAAGCATTTGGCTTTTTAGGGGAACACAGTACGAATAACCTTGGAGAAGCAGGGAAAAGAAAAGCTCCCTTCTGATCCCATTTCTGTAGCTTCTCCCCAGGCCCTATCCTCCCCACCCCTCAACTCCCAGCTAACCCTGCATCTTCTCTCTTCCTCCCAAAAGACTCACAGGGAGTAACTCCAGCTTCTCCTAAGCATCTTCAGGGTGAGCATGATTCCCTCAATGGGACTGCAGGGATCCAAACAGCATGTCATTGCTAGGAACTGCCCCTCCCTCAGCTCCACTCTGCTGGGGCCTCCACCCTCAAGTTTAACCATTAATGAACCTGACTTCTACGACCCAGCCTACCTGGCAGGGCTCGCCTTTCCTTGCGATTTGTCAAAAACACGCTACTCACAGTGGAAGGAACCAGGGCAACCGTGGCTCAGATCCTGGTCCCAGGAGTCCACACACAGGGGAGCTATGGTAGATGTGGCCAGCCTGGCCAGCCCAGCTCCCTGTGATGTCACATCAGCCTTACCTCATCCCACTCCGAGGCAAAGGAGGGCGACTTCTCCAACCTCTTCTTCCCGATGCTGCAGTTGGACAAAGACTCGCTCCGGCTCCCCATGGTAGCGTCCTCCGTGGGTGAGCAGGTCAGGAGATCAGAGTCAGACTTGGATAAGCTGCGGCTGAGTTTGAGTTCAGCTTTGGGTCTGCTGGTGGGAGGGGCTCGGCTTCTGGCCCCGCTCCGGTCTCCTTCTTCAGCACCAGCAGGGTGCAGAGATGCTGTGTGAGTCAAAGTTTCAGGGTGTGATCGGCTGTTGGTGGTGGGCAGGCCCGCTGGGTAGCCCACTCTCTTGCTCTGGTCTAGGATACTGGGCTGGGGAGCTCCAGGAGTATGCACACCCGTCTCCTCCAGCTGCATGCTGGCCTCGTGGCAGGCGCCCTGCTGGGGAGAATCGTCTGGATGGCTCTGGCCAGTGGCAGAGAGCAGTTGGAAAGGGTCCTGCCCCACCTCGCACACTGGGGAGGAGCCGTGGAGGAGACCTGAGAACTGCTCTGGGACCTGCCCGTCCTGCCGCTCCGCAGAGTCCTGGCTCCAGCTGCTGCTGCTCCGCCTGTGGTCTTGGAGTGGACAGAGAGACAGAGAAATAAAAAATTAAACGTGGCAAAAATCAACAAAGTTCCAATGCAGTGAGCGTACAGCAAACCATAGGAATTAAAAACAGAGAAAAAGAGAGAGAAGCTGGATAGACTGGGGAGGGGAGAGAAAAGAGAGGAGAAAGAGGAAGGAAGAAAACAGTTTTCGTATTGTTCTTAATGTTCAATTTGTACCCAAAGTCAGAGAATTTATGAAATTCCAAATACTGGCCTGATTAATGCTATCTGGCAGCCTTCCCTGTTGTAAGACTTCTGTTAACATTAACGACCAGACCTTTCTATATAAGGCGAGAAGAGTGTTAACTACGTCCTACAGAAAGGACACAGTGAGGACAGGGTGAGTGGACATGGAGCAGAAATGAGAGAGAAGGCGTGAGCGTGTGAGAGAGCGAGCACGAACAAGTGCGACTCGCTCCTGGAACATCTGATACATTTCCATAAAGGCCTAAGTGTTATTTAGAGCCACCCGCCCTCCCTTCCTCTAGGAAGCAGCAACCAAGGAAAAAAAAAAAAATGGAGGTCATGATCCACAACCTGCAACTTCTGGAATTCCTTAACTGAAAGTGCAAAACAAAACAGCAGAGAATAACTGCTTCCTTCCTCAGAGGGGGCCATTCAGAGTTCCACGCCTCGTCCTTCCTTCCTCAGGGAGCACGGACTTTCTTTTTCTATTTATTTTTTTTTTAAATGTGCACATCTCGCTCTTTCCAAAGCCTCCAGCTGCTCATATTTGTTTAAGTTTAACCTTAGTTGATCCACTAAAAACAAAATGGTCTAATTTGTCAATGCCAGGAGACATTTGCAGTTCTCTTGAGACTTCCCTAACATCCTAGAAATCTGACACTACTAGCTCATGAGGCCAACTACTACTGTACACTCAAATACCTCTGCCCCAAAGCAGCACAAATAATCAGCCAAATCAGAGTCTAACATCAGCACCACACCAGGACACCCGGGGGTTTCCTTGCATGAACTCAGTCTCATTAAAGATTTTAACTCACGTCATCAAGAAGAGATAACAACACTATGTTCACATTCCAAAGTTAATATTCAACTTTATCTTCTCTGTAAGTGAAGTCTATGGTACCCACACCAAATGATTCCCTAGTCTGAGCAAAGCTCCAAAGAATTCTTCATGAGATCAGAGAATCTTAGAATCAAAAGGGTTGCGTTTGACTATTTTTACAGACTATTTTTACTAAGGCTCACACTCCTTTAGTGGTTTGCCCAAGGTGCTGGAAGAGGAGACTTTAACCTAGGAGGCTGAAGATCTGGCTGTGGTCCTGGCTGTGCTGCTCTCTAGCTGTGTGGCCTTGGCAGGGATTTCATCTTGTTGGGCCTCAGTGAATAAAATAAGTGGGTTGGGCTGCACAGTACTTTAATGTCATGATGGTGATTAGAATCCTAGTCTGCACCATGCTGTGACGGCAGACTTCTCCCCTCCAGGGATGCTAGAGCCCTGCCCGGGTGCCTCTCCTGCTGCTGCCGCATAGCAGCCACTCCGCCTCATCAGTGTGCCTGCAGCCCAAGACCCCTTCTTGAAACTCAGTTCCACAACTGGAAAGGGCAGTCAGGTTGAGGGGTGCGAAATGAGCAGCACTTTATAAACAGACGTTCTAAAACACAGTCTCCATCGCCTAGGCACAATGCTAAGCCTTTAAGGAAGGATCCCAACAACCAACTCTCACAATGAGCCCGTCTCTCCGAGGTCTGAGCAGGGACACGCTTCCGTCCACCCCATTCTCTCCAGAAGAGCAATTCCATCTCCACAGTCTGTTCGGCTTTTGGCAAGTCTGCAGAGGTTGCTGAGGGGCAGCCAACTAGCTCCACTTTATGGCTCTGATTACTTATCCACAGGAGCCCAGAAACATGAACTTTGGCATCTCCCTCCTCTATACTTGAATGTTTCACGACTTTCACACCCCCAGCTCACAAACCCAGCACCCCAAAGGCCAGGACCTGAGCAATGAACAAGCCCTAAATGACTTGAATCACTTCTCTAGGAAAGAAGAAATGGTGAGTACAAGAGTTCCATATGGCTTAACTGAGGTCCCAGGAAACCATGACTCACAGCTATGAATGTCACACACAACAACTGGGAGACGGAACAAAGCTATGCAGTGGTGTTGCGAGGTGTGGCCACACAGGATGACATATGACTGTCTAATGGTGGTTCAGGCCAATATACTTCCTAGGAGAAGCTGATAGGGAGAACTAACTGGGCTACAAAATTTGCCACCTCTGGGATGATATTCTAACGGCCAACTTCCTACACATCCTCGCCCAAGGTGCAATGTCCCCCTGACTCCATTTGAATGCAAGAAGACAAGGGTAACAGGAGCACAGGCTTCTACTGCTCTGCATCAGCTTCATATTTAACAGTTTTGGGAGTGTGTGTGGAGGGGGTTCCAACAACACAAGAAAAACATCACAGCCTGGCTCATACTGCATGGGTGGACCTCAGAACCCAGGCCACAGAGAATGTTCCAAATGCCGCTGTGGGAGCTGACAATGCAGGCCCTGTCAAACAGCCACCCCTTTATGCTATCAATGAAGAAAGAGAGACAGATGCCAAGAGCTCAATACCAACTGATGCCGGGGGAAGGAAGTGGGCAGAAAGAAGAAATGGAAACTTACGGAGGAAAGAAATAAGTGGAGAGGAAGAATCTCTAAGGGTCATAATCCCATTACAGAAACCACAATTTACCAAGATTTTGTGAGGCATAAGAAGTGATGGAAAGGGAGTCTTATAATTACATGACTTACCCAGGCAATTCCTAGGAAAGATATGTTGGTATCTGAAAAGCTTGCTGAGATCTAAGAATCTGAGGATCTTAATAGGCCAGTGTTCTCTTTCCCATAGAAAACTATATTCAAAGCTAAGATCTATTTTTTAGCAAATCAATGGATGGGAAAAAACTACTCAATGGTTTCTTCCTTCTGTAAAGTCAGTATAATATAAAATCGCTTAGGGTCAAAGTGCTAACAATATAAACTGACCAAGTGGCAGATCTTGAGCAAATTCCTTAACTTCTTTGTGCCTTAGTATTCTCATTTCATAAGACTATTGTGAGAATTAAATGATATGTGTACAGAATAAAGAACCATGCCTGGCACATGGAAAGCTCTCAATAGATATTAATAGCTGTTATTATCCTCTATGCAGGATCCATCACAACACACTTTGCTCACAGGTAAGATCAACTACTTCCCCATTCCTCACAGGTCTGTCCCAAGGATCAAAGACAATGTACATGGAAATACTTTGTAAGATATAAAGCACTGTACAAGAATCCATTACCTCTTTCATCCTTACAACTCTCAACAGCAGAAAGAAGAAACAGAAGATACTTTTCACAAGATGGCGCCGAAGGCAAAGAAGGAAGCTCCTGCCCCTCCCAAAGCCGAAGCCAAAGCAAAGGCTTTGAAGGCCAAGAAGGCAGTGCTAAAAGGCGTCCACAGCCACAAAAAAAAGAAGATCCGTACGTCACCCACCTTCCGGCGGCCAAAGACACTGCGGCTCCGGAGGCAGCCTAAATATCCTCGGAAGAGCGCCCCCAGGAGAAACAAGCTTGACCACTATGCCATCATCAAGTTCCCCTGGACCACAGAGTCTGCCATGAAGAAGATAGAAGACAACAACACACTTGTGTTCATTGTGGATGTCAAAGCCAATAAGCACCAGATCAAACAGGCTGTGAAGAAGCTCTATGACATTGATGTGGCTAAGGTCAACACCCTGATCAGGCCTGATGGAGAGAAGAAGGCATATGTTCGACTGGCTCCTGATTATGATGCTTTGGACGTTGCCAACAAGATTGGGATCATCTAAACCAAGTCCAGCTGGCTAATTCTAAATATATATATCTTCTCACCTTAAAAAAAAAAAAAAAAAAAAGAAACAGAAGATAATTTGGTGAAAGGGCTGAAGTGACAAACTGAGACAGGCTCCAAACTGTCACTATAACCTCTCATTCCATCAATAAGCATGTGCAAATTATCTGCTTTCAGGGGGTACTCAGGTGACATAAAGATGAAGACAGCAAGTTGGCCTCAATGATGTTGGAAGAGACTGGCATATATAGAAATAATTAGAAAGCAAAAATTAATAGATGCTTCTTTCTTTCTTTCTTTCTTTCTTTTTGTTTTGTTTTGTTTTGTTTTGTTTTGTAGGTAGAGTCTCATTCTGTTGTCTGGACTAATTTCTTCTTATTTTTAATAGAGACAGGGTCTCATTCTTGCTGAGACTGGTCTTGAACTCCTGAACTCAAGCGATCCTCCCACTGTGGCCTCCCAGAGTGCTAGGATTACAGGCGTGAGCCACCACATGAGCCTAATAGATGCTTTAAAGAAAGGTATAAACCACAAGCACAGTGGGCAGAAAGAAAGCATGATTACTTTGAACTAGGAGGCTTCTCAGAGGGGTAGCTTTTGAGCTTGGTATTGAAGAAGAAGACAGACCTTGCCAGGCTTAAAGAGAAGTAGAAATACCTTTGAAAAGGCAGAGACACGAAAAGTCCTCTGGGACCAGTGGAGTGTCAGAAGAGGACCCTTAGGCCTAAGGCCTTCCTTCTGATGGGAATCACTATGCTTCCGCTGTGGACCTAGACAGCTTCTGACACTCTGCCACACTGCCCTCTGCCCCCTCACAGTCTGCCCTTCTAGGACACAGACAAGGAGGTAACAGCACACAGAGAGGGGAGGCTGTTTCTTACTCTCCCGTACATCAAGGCCAGCTGCTCTATTGAATAGGACACACCAGCAACTTCCAATCTTTATTCATTTCCCTTTTACCCTGTGAGCTGCTAAAGCAAGGGGTCTTCTGTGTTGCATGTTAATTACTATGATGATCCATGGGGATCTCAAGGGCTTTGAATAATAACATTTTAACATTTACACACTGTCAGTCACCTCTGCCCATTAAATTAAGGCTGAAAAATGCAGCTCATGTGGGGAGTTACTCA